TTATAAATAAAGCAGAATTTTTTGGGAGCCCATTAGGGATATATCTAGAAAACAATCAAGAAGTAAAATATAGAAATAACTGAGGAAGACATTAGGTCTGCAATTAGAGAATGACGCAGGCCATGGTATCTTTATAAATCAACCACATGATGTGAATCATTTATTAAGTTCATGGCAGTGGATGAGACAATGCTGAGCTTTAAGAACAGAGTCTGCCAGGGATTTAGCTCAGCGGTTCGGCCATCTGCCTTGTAAGCACAAGGACCCGAGTTTGATCCCCGGTACCAAAAAAAAAAAAAAAAGAAGAAGAAGAACAGAGTCTGCACTTGCAGAATTGCTGAGTTGCTTCTCAGCACTGGTTGTGTCATTTCATTGTAGACATCCCAGCTCAGTTCCTGAGACTAGGTTGTTAAATGAATTTGTTGCTAAATGAGGAACTGCCTATAGTATAATATAGCATCGTATGTGCTTTACAATATTCAGAACAAAGAAGTGGTCAAAGGAAACTCCAACTTGGTAACTTTGCTTTTATCTGCATAACTCTTACATGTAGTACTGTGATGTACAACAGAACTAAAACTACAGTAGTATACTGCACAACACAATCAGTAAAAATTACAGTACTGCATAACCAAGGTGTATTGTACCAAAAGAAGACTTTGAGGCACTACAAATAAGATGTACAGACCTGTACAAAAAAAGTCCAAGCAGCAGGTTGTAAATCTGAACAGTCACTAAACAGGTTAAATAGGAAATAACTGCATTGGTAATAACTAGAGTTGAGACATCCATTCAACTGATAAATAGATAAAATATGGTATCACCACACAAAGAAACAGTAGTCAGAGCTGGGGATTTAGCTCAGCAGTGCTGCTGCCTGTCTCACAAGCACAAGGTCCTGAGTTCGATCCCCAGGACCAGAACAACAAAAAAGAAACAGTAGTCAGCCAGAAGAAGGCATGAGTATTTATACATGCTACAATGTGGATGAGACTTTCAAATAATGCTAAGCGAAAGAAGTCAGTCACAAAAGATCGCGTACTGTATGATTGCATTTGTATGAAATGTCCAAAAAATGTCAAATCCATAGAGACTTCTAAGTAGATTAGTGGTTGCCAGGGAAGAGAGAGAGAGAGAGAGTGAGGAGTGCTTTGATTAACCAGGATGGGCCTTCTTTTTAGGGTGATGAAAATGTTCTACAGGGTGGTGATGCTTACATAACTGTGAATAGAATAAAAACCCTTGAATGGTACACTTAAAGATTATTAAAGTGATGAATTTTATGTTACATGATTTTTATCTTGGTTTTTTAAAGTTATTATAAGGCCAAGCAGCTGGATCCTCTGGCTCTAGCACACAGGCTCTCATTGTGTACTCTCCCGCCTCTGATACTGCAAGCTGACCTAGTAAATCCACTTGCATAATTGAAAAAGTGATTCAGTGATATATGCACTCCTGTGTTTATAGCAGCACAGTTTGTAATAGCTAAAACTTGGAAACAGCCCATTTGCCCATCAGTTGGAGACTGGATAAAGAAGATGTGTTTTTTCTGTAAAATGGAATACTACTCAGCCATAAAGAATGAGAAATTAGATTCATTCATAGGAAAATGGGTATATATTGAGGATATACTCCTCAGTGAAATAAATAAGTTGCACATGTGTACATACCAAATAGTTTCCCTAGTGTGAAAAACTATAATAGTACATAAGATCCTAATGAGATAATTGACAATGTAAAATAGGAAGAAAAGGGCTAAAGGTGCAGGGAAAGTTGGAATTGTAGGGGAAAGGTAATAAGGGAAAAGAAACAATATGAGAAAAAGAAAAAATGGAAATAAAGTATTTGTAAATGGGGAGGGGATGAGGGGGTGAAGGGAGGGCAGGGACTAGGGGAAAAAAAGGAGAACCAAGACCTGTCATGAAAAGGTACGAGATCCAAATGATGAATGTAACTGTACTGTATACCTAAAATGTACCAATAAACTCAATGAGAGAAAAAAAGTTTTTAAAGTGATTATATTATTACTTATCTTTATGTTTTATAATATGCCTAAGGCGATATCAAGATGTTGAATATTTTTAAAGGGAAAATATTTAATATGGCTTTAAGTACATAAGTAAAATGAATTGAGTAACCTCTCTAAACTACTGATTGCTATTTGTGTACAAGACAAGTCATAGATAAAGTAGAAATTTATTCTCCTATAGAAATTCAAAGAATACAATGTGCCCAATGAAAAACAGTTAGCTATATAAGGCCAAGGCTCAGGTGGGTCTGTTGTGGGTAGATGGAGACTGTTGAGAGTTGGGTGGAGATTGTTGGAGATTTGGTGATTGATTTGCTGCTATGGGGAGTGTAGGATATCGTTACACTGGGTCAAGCAGTGTTTATGGTGAGCATAGTGAGGGAACATCCTGGCTGGGCCTCATGACCAGCTCATACAGATACAGACTCCAGGATAACTATGATGTGCTGGGCCTCATTGGAGAAGGCAGCTTTGGCATGTTGGCACGACATCGTGGCACACGTATGCCGGTCGCCGTAAAGGAGTTAACAAAGGCAGAGGTGCGAGCGGCCTACATTACGATGGAGGTTGGGATGTTGAAGGACCTTCGACACCCTAGCATCACACAGTTGCTGGAGGTTATAGAAACTAAGGACAAAGTACACCTGGTCCTAGAATATGTGAAGGAGGTCAACCTGGGGCTAGAGATCTTCCAGATAGAAAATCAGATGCTGCAGGAGAAGGATGCCTGGAGGATTTTCCGAGACATCTTGGGAGTGGTGGATTGTTGCCACCAGCAAGGCATTGTACGTGGGGACCTCAAGCTCGAAAATGTTTTGATTGACACCCAAGGCCATGCTAAGGTATGCACCTTCAGGTTCGGATTCTGGTTCCTCCCCGGGGAGGAGGTGCCTGAGGTTGGTGGCACGCAGCATACTTTGCCCCAGAAAGAATCTTTTTTTTTTTCTTTTTATTGAGTTTATTGGTACAATCCAGGTATACAATACAGTTACATTCATTATTGGGATCTTGTACCTTTACATAATAGGTCTTGATTCTCATTTTTTCCCCTTGTCCCTGTCCTCTCTTCCCCCCCTCCTCCCCTCCCCATTTACAAACACTTTATTTCCATTTTTTCAGTTTCTCATATTTTTTTCCTCTCCCTTATTACCTTTCCCCCACCCTTCCCACTTTCCCTATATCTTTAGCCCTTTACTTCCTATTTCACATTATTAATTATCTCATTAGGATCCTGTGTACTATTACAGTTTTTCACACCAAAGAAACTATTCGGTATTTCAGTTAAAGAAGTCTCTGTATGAACATTAAAAATAGGGAATCCTAAAATAAAACTAAAAAGGAAAGTAAAAGAGAAAAGGCAGTGATGTAACATTAAAATAATCCTTAATTCTGAAGATGAAAATGGTCCCTGAACATATTTAAATTGCTTCTTGCTCTTATAGTCTTATCTTATTCTTTTTTTTTCATTATTTAGAGAATACTTTGTTTCTGTAATCAAACCCACATAGATATGACCTTACATGTTTAGTATGATGTGTTATCCCTGTATACATGGAAAAAAAATTAAAAATAAGAATAAAAAAAAATAACATTTCTAGACCAACATGGCTGTCCATTTCTATACAATGCCAACTCAACACAGTAAATTGGGATGACTTTTTCCAAAATTGGCAGCACTGTTAAAGTTTCCCAAAATTCAATTTATATATATATGTGTATATATATGTATATATATTTATATTTATATAAAAAGACTAATAATAGCAGTATGATATTATGCATCGATAGCAGCAACAGCTTTTCCAGGTTCTGCAGTCATCTGAACAAAATTATAGACATTCAGCACATTCTATTAACAAAAAACAAAACAAAACAAAACAAAAAGAAACAAAGAAAAGAACAGTATCCAGAAAACAGCAAAGTTCTGTTGCTGTTGTGGTACCTGGCACCATTTTTTTTATTAGCATCTTAATCATCATCTGGAAAGAGAACATTCTAGAGTAATATCATTAAATGTAGCTCTGGTAGAGCACGGTCCCTACTATGTATCATAAAGCAGGTATAAGATATTTTACATTCATAGAGATATGATACAGTACCATCCTACATCAATAATACTAGAATCAGTTTTGGTTTGAAATTTACTTTGTCTGAAAATAAGATTGCTACTCCTGTTTTTTTCTGGGCTCCTGTCACATGGAAATTGTTTTCTATCTTCACTTTCAGTCTATGGGCTTCTTTTTGCACTAGGTGTGTTTCTTGTATACAACATATTGTTGGATTTTGCTTCTTATTCCATTTTGCCAGTCTATTTCTCTTGATTGGTGAGTTGAGGCCATTGACATTGCTGGTTATAACTGATATGTACTGACTTATTATTGACATGCTATCGGCCTTTTGTTGACTCTTTTTACTTTTTCACCTTCCCCTTTTAATTTCTTGCCTTACCTATTTGATTTGCTCTGTTGGGCCTCATGGTGTTGTTGCCTTCATTGTATTTTTCTAGGATCTTGTTTAGAATTCCTTGTAGTGCTGGTTTGGTATTCATGTAGTTTCTCAGGTGTTCTTTATTGTGGAAGTGTCTTATTTCCCCCTCCATTTTGAAAGAGAGTTTTGCTGGATACCTCAGTCTAGGTTGGAGGTTGTTTTCTTTTAGTACTTGAAATATCTCATTCCAGGCTCTCCTTGCCCCAAGGGTTTGTGTTGAAAAGTCTGCTGTGATTCTGATGGGCTTTCCTTTTCATGTGATTTGTTTCTTTTCTCTTGCTTCTTGTAGTATTTTGTTCTTCTGTTGGGTTTCTGGGATCTTGATTATTATATGTCTAGGTGTAGATTTATTTTTGATTGTAGCTAGTTGGGGTCTTATACGCCTCAATTATCTGAATGTCAAATTCTTCCCCTCTGTTTGGGAAGTTTTCTGTCATTAATTCTGTGAACAGCTTTTTAAACTCATTTGTATTTTCTCCTGCTGCTTCATGGATTCCTATCAGTCTTACGTTATTCTTCTTTGGATCATCTAGGAGTTGTTGGATCCATTTCTCATGATCCCTTACTGTTTTTAAGAGACCTCTCTTTTCATAGTCACTGACTGCAATCTTATCTTCTATATCTGATCTTTGCATTCTTTTATTCTGTTGCATACACTTTCAGTGGAGTGTGAATCTGTTTTATGGATTCCATTTCTTTCCTAGGTTGGGCATTTATTTTTTCCTTTTCTTTCTTATGCTGGGCCTTCATGGCATCTATCGTGGTCCTGAGCTCATCAATTTTTTTGTCAGTTTCTGCTCTAGAGTCTTGAATCGCGACTTCCATTTTGCTCACTATCTCTATGATTATCTGGGAAATTATTTCTGTTTTGAATTTTTCTAGAGCCTGATTGATCTGTTTTGTTACTTCCTGTGCTTTGAGTTCAGGGTGTCCTGGTCGTTCACTATCGGCCTTTTTCATCCTCATTTGCCCTACTGTTTGCCATTGGTGAACTGGAAGTCTGTCCTTGTATCTTGCTTAAGTGTTTTCTCATTTTTATTTTTGTTGTCGGACTGTCCTTGGTTTAATCTCTGGGTTATCACCCAAATCTTCCTGATATATTTGCGCCCTAGCTTCTGTGTCTCTAACGACCCACAGACATTCTAATCTTCATAACATCAGAGAAACAGCTCATCAAATCATCCGCAATGCTTTATCCCAACTGATACAATCAGCAGCACATTAAGATCAAGCACAACTTGGACACTGACCACCTGTGGTAGTCACTAGTCTATCACCCTTAAATCATTTGAATTAAATTGAAATCAATAAGCAGTCCAGAACATGTCTGAAGTGAACAAAATTTCAATATAGTGTATTTATCATTTAATGGCTCAGACAGAGCGAGGATGCAAGTCCCCTGGTCACAGTTAGCCGATGGCTGAACCCCATGATGCTGACTGACCTCGGGCTGCAAGGCCCAGATTGAGTTCCCCAACCTCCTGAATGGTTGAACTCCATAACGCTCTATTACAGGTTTCCCACGCCCTTTCTTTAAAGATATTCAAAGTTGGGAACTCAGAAAAATACCCTTGATGACCACCTCTGCCTCTGCAGAGTGGGTCCAAAGACTGGCACAGTCAGGAGGTCTGAGAGTGCAGGGGGAGGGCTTATGGGGGTTCAGGGGCACCCGCGCGGCTACCTTCCCAGTGCTTAAGCGATGGCGGCTGGGTCGGGAGCAGGCGTGTCTCTCCTTCCCGCAGTGAATCAGGGCCCAGGCTGCCTCCCCACTCTTGAGCAATGGCAGCTGGGTCCGGAGCAGGCGTGTCTCCAGAAAGAATCTTGTACCAGGCGTATGAAGGTTCTACCCTGGATATCTGGGCCCTTGGCATGATATTATACAAGATGATTACTGGGAAATGTCTCTTTTATGAGGATCCATCCAAGATAATGGAAAATATCATTTTGGGGATTGTCTCTTACCCGGACTTCATCTCCATGAATACCAAATACTTCATCAGAAAGCTCATGAACCGGAACCCCAGCATGCAACCAACAGCACAGAAGGTGCTGAAGCACCGGTGGCTCCAGGGTATCCGGCTGCCCTGTCCTCCTGAGCTGTACCCTGTGCCTGCAAAGAGGGCAATTCTAAACCGTATGGCTGGGATGGATTTCGACCCACTAACGGTGATGGACACCCTGAGGAGGAAGGAGTATAATCATGAGACAACCTTCCTGTTGCTGCAGAGCCAGGCCCTCCAGGGGCTGGGCTTCAGAAACCCAGTGAAGACTGTGCATGTGGCTGCAGAGGAAACATCATGGTGCCTGACAAGTCCTGCAGTCTCACCTCACATCCCCTGGACAGCCAGCGAGCCTGTCTCCTGTACTGGCTGCTTATTCCCTGGACTGAAGCCCCGAGGAGAACAGGGTGGCATAGGCTTCCAGCCACCCATGACCATCCAGAGGACCCCAACTCTCAGCCTGTCCCCCCAGCCTGGACCTGCCGCTCCCAGCATGTTCTGCCAACCTGACCCTGCCATTCTCAGTGTGTCCCGCCAGCCAGGCCTTGGAGCTCCCTGATCTTGCTCCAGAACCACCTCTGCCCCTGCCAACAGTGGGCATTGATACTGGAAGGCTCTCAAGAGGAGCATCACAGGCTGCCTACGGGCCCTGTGCTGCTGCTTCCTGCCACCCTGTGGGCACCACCGAAACAAGGTGGCCCCAATTACAGAACCATGAGACACAACTCTGCGGACATGGGTGTCCTACCCATGTCAGATCAGCCACATGGAGGAAGCCACATCCTCCGTGGTAAGGAACTTCTCTCTGCTCATCTCCTCGCATGTCCCTGTGTGAGGGTTTCCACCAAGGAGCTGCAGAGGAGTTGCTGGAAGGATGGTGAGCCCAGGTGAAGAGAGCAGCCCTGCCTATTCTGAGGACGGGGACACTGCTGTTCCCCTGGCCACCATGTAGAAGCCTAGACTTGGCCATGCTGTGAGCAGCCCAGGAGTATGCAGAGGCCACACTGATCCTCCGCCCGCTGATTGCACAATGGGAGCCACCCCAGCCCAGTCACCAGAGAGGTGTGTGGCGGCATCTCTACATCATCCCAGTGCCAGCCATGGATCATCCTGGCCCAGAAGTCAGCACAGCTGAGTCCTGAGGACCAGGGCCATGCCTCAGCCTAAGTGGACCTGGCCAAGGCCCTGAGCCCCATAGCTAACATCTCTGTGGCCTCCCTGCCTCCTCCTCAGTCATCCAGGACACAGTCGGCCACAGCCCAAGGCTGTCGGCTTCCAGATGTCTCACAAACTCAGCCTCTCTTCTACCCATGTGCCATCAGCAATGTAGAGCAGATTTGTTCATGGCACAGATGTTGGGGACACTCAGGGCCAAGGACAGTGGTGCGGGCACTGCAGACACCAGAGGTGCGGGGCCAATGTGGAGGGCTTGTGCAGGTGAGAGCAGGAGGGTAATTTAGGAACAGAACACGGAGACAGTCAAGGGATCAAATGAGCCAGCCTCTGCCCCAGAGCAGCTGGCTGAGGACTGATTCGGTGACAGCACCCAGGGACAGCGCTGCCGTGTGACCAGCACATCAGTAGAGCTTCAGCATAGTGACCCACGTGATTCTCTGAGAGTGCTCGGTGCCCAGGGCTGCTCCTCATCTTCCTGCTGTCAGGATCACTGAGATTTTATAGAGAGGGAGCATGACTCCTGGAGGGCTGAAGTGAAGTCACAGATTTGTACAGGGAGAACAGGGCAGGGTCAGATTCGAGCCTGGAACTTCTCAGCTCTTGGTCATACTGTCATCTAGTGAGGAAGACAGCCTGGGACACCACGAGAGGAACAACAGTGTTGGCACAAGATGGTGGCCTTAGTAGCTTTCCAGGCTGTGGCAGGACACCTGAGATTCATCAGCAGAGGTTTCAGTCCAGGGTCACTGTGGGCTTGGGGCAGCACAGCACATCATGGCAGGAGTGTTGGAGGAGGAGACCCCTTACCTCATAGCACCTGGGAAGCAGAGTCATGAAGAGGCCAGATCCCATCATCCTGGTCCCAGCCAAGCCCCTGTGACCTCACTTCCTCCCAGTAAGCTCTGCCTCCTCCCAGGAGCACAGCTGTGTGGTCCACACTTTCAACTGTGAGCCTACGGGGCACCTCAGAGAGAAGACAGAGGAAGACAAAGGAGCAGTAGGAGGGGGACTTCCCTGATTTGTCCCTTGTTACCCTAGAGAGGCTGCTCTGGGGGCAAAGAGTGCTGAGCCCCCAGGTGCCTGCAGACTGCACAGCCTCCCATGTGGGTGCAGGTAGATGTGGAGGCTGGGTGAGGGTGAGGCTTGTCCAGCACAGCCATGACTGTATCTCACAGCCCACCATGGCGAGGAGCTTTTACATGTCCTCCCTGCTCACCTCTTGCCAGGCCCGTGTGTGAGGGCTTCCATGAAGAAGCCACCAAGTTGTTGCTGCAAGGATGGCAAGTCCAGGTGAAGAGAGGCAGTGCTGTGAGCTCTGTTTACTGGGCCACTGTACTGCCGCCCTGGACACCGTGCAGATTCCGGGACATGGCCATGCTGTGAGCAGCCCGGGAATATGCAGAGGCCATGCCGAGCCTCTGTCCATGGAGTTCAGCATGGGAGCCACCCCAGCCCAGCCATGGGACAGGTGTGTGATGCTGCCCCCAGATGACCCCAGCCACTGCCATCAAGCATCTTTCTCCTTCTAGAAACTTCTGTGGACCCTGCAGCATTCTTTGGGATCCTCCCCACCCATGCTGCCACGTGCATTCTAGTTACCTCTTGGTAACCATATGGTAACTGGAAGGAACAGCAGCAGCAAGAATGGGCTAGGTCTCAGCTCCTTGGGAAAACTTGCTGCCCTCTCTGGGGCTTCTGAGTCTCTTAAGAGTTTGAATATGGAGAGAGGGGGAGGCACCTCAGAAAGAGATTCCTGGAGGGAGTGAAGGGAGGGCAGGGAAAAGGGGGAAAATGAGAACCAAGACCTGTCATGTAAAGGTACAAGATCCTAATGATGAAAGTAACTGTGCTGTATCCCCAGAATGTACCAATAAACTCAATTAAAAAAAAGAAAAGAAAAGAAAAACAAAAATCTAATCTTGGAATTAAACTTAGCTAAAATGCATTTCAACAAACAATATGTGTGAAGAACTCAAAAAAAGAACTATAACTAGCCATTGATTACATGTAAAATAAAATGCTAATTAAAACAAGAGGCTGCTTTTAAACCATTGTTTTAAAAAATTAATACGTGTTGACCAGGCATGGTGCTGCACACCTATAATCCCACCACTCCTGAGGGGCTGAGGCAAAAGAATCACAAACTCTAGCCCAGTCTGAACAACACCTCAGTTGCACATGAACTAGCACAAAGAATGAACAGGTGGGATCTCTTCTTATTAAAATCTTATGAAGAGGAATAAGAAGTGTAAATCAAGTGTAAGAAGACCATGAGAAACAGAAGAAAAAAAGAAAGAAAGAAAGAAAAGAGAGAGAGAGAGAGAGAGAGAGAGAGAGAAAGGAGAAAGAATAGAGACCCATGAAGGTAAATCTAAATTTGTGTGTATGTTGGGGGCGGGGGGCGGTTAAACCCAGGATCATTGCAGTAAGCTACATTCACAGGCCTTTTTTATTTTGAGACGAGTTCTTGCTAAGCCCCTAAGTTGCCCAGGCTGGGCTGTAACTTATTATCTTCCCATCTTAGCTTCCCAAAATATAGGGAGGTCAGGTGTGTGCCAGGACACTTAGCCTAGGAAACATCAATATCTCTTTCATCCACAGAGATTTTCCATTAGGGGCCAGGGATTTAGCTCAGTGGTTCCACCGCCTGCCTCTCAAGCACAAGGACCTGAGTTCGATCCCCGGTACCAAAAAAGAAAAAGAAAAAAAAAAAAAGAGAGAGATTTTTTCATTAGTTTACCCTTTATACAATCGTGGGTGAAATTTTCTATTTTAATATAACTGAATTCCTTTTGTATAAATCACTAATTATCTAAAGCAAGTAATTCAAGACTGTCCAGAACTGAGAATAATTAACAAATTATTTAAACAGACCCATCTTTACACTTCTATTATCAAGAACTGTCAAAGAACCATAAAAGTTTAGCTATGCAGGAATCTTAGCATTCATTCAGAGAAAATCATTTTTTCATTAAATTTATTGATGCTTTTTAGGTATACAGTACAGTTACATTCATCATTGGGATCTTGTACCTTTACATGATGTATCTTGGTCCTTATTTTTTCCCTATTCCCCTGCCCTCCCTTCGCCTCCTCCACCCTTCCTTATTTACAAAGACTTTGTTTCTATTTTTTCCTTTTCTCATATTTTTTTCTTTTCCCCTCTTTCCTTTCCCCTACCCTTCCCACTTCCCCTACTTCTTTAGACTTTTTCTTCCTATTTCACATTATCAATTATACAATTTGAACCTCATTTACACTTTCAGTTTTTCATACCAGAGAAACTATTTGGTATTTACACGTGTGTCCTGCTTATTTCATTTAAGAGTATGGCATCCATATGCATCCATTTAACTATAAATGTCTCTAGTTTCTTGTTCTTTATGTAGTACTCCATTTTATAGAAAAACCACAGTCTTCTTTATCCAGTCTCCAGTTGATGGGCAATTGGACTGTTCCCAAGTTTTACTATTAGAAACTATTATAAACATGGGTGTGTATATATCACTGCAGTATGATTCTTTTAATTCTTTTGTAAAGATACCCAGCAGAGGGATAGCTGGGTCAAATGGGACCCAGGCAAAATCTTTAGAAGAAAATTCAGAGAAGTGATTGCTCAGTCATCCAGTTAGAGAGAAGCATACTTAAGACCAGAACTTACTTATTGGTTTATTCACTTAGTAATCAGGAAATCCTGCTCTGCCAGGTGAGGCACTAAGTGGCAAAAATGCAAAGACGAGTACATTCTTTTCCTGGCTCAAGAGGTATTGACGAAGGAAGCAAAGGACAGTTTATAAACTTTACTAAAGCCGTTAGTGCTCATCAGCAAAGACATGATGGCTAATCCACATTTTATATTTCAAAGCTCAGTTAACAGCCCACTTGACGGCTTCCAGCCATAGCAATACATAAAATAACAAAAGATTATCTTCCACCAAAGGAGGAATAGAGGGATCCTGGCCTGTAGTTTTCCCAACAGGAATTCCATGGAATGTGTGCCTTTAAGTAGGACCAGCAAAATCACTACTGCATTATTGTCCTTCTCTGACATGGAGATAATGAATGATTCTTTTACTTGTTTGTTTGATTTGTATTAAGAGACTTACTGTGTTGCCCATCTGGCCTCAAACTCAAGATCTTCCTGCCTCAGCCTCCTAAGGAACTGATATTACAGATGCACACCATCACACTGGGCTCAACCAGTTATCCTCAAACACTATCAATTGTAAAGGTAGAAATGCATAATTTGTTTAAACTCCCTCTATGTTGCAGAAGGAATTGGTAAGTGACACACACACAGAGATGCAGAATGGAAGTCAAATAATAAAAGGTTTTTATTTTGCCAGCAAAATGTCAATCACACTAAGAGCAGTGCCACTGATCGACCCTGTACTGGGCTGCAGCTTCTTCTTTTATAGGTTTTACAGCCATGATCTCATTTAGATGGTTATATTTCAGTTCACATTGCCCATGTACAAATTATAGTGACAAGACAGTTAACTTTAGCCCAGATATAACAATTCCTTGTAGTTAGGGAGTTTACCTTAAGATTCACCTAGCTATCTATTCTAGTGCACAGGAATGGGGTCTTCAAGGTTAGGAATAAGGCCAGATGTCCCATTTTACTGTCTCAATGCCTCCAGTGTCTGTTAATTGTGAACTAAGCCAAGCAGATTGCTGTTACAGATGGCAGAAGTCATTTTACATTTTTCTAATATTTTGTAAGTTTTTAGATTATTTACTAAAGTTCTCTCTATCATTTACACATGCTATATATATAAAGTATGGTTTGGCAACTAATGCTAAATGAACTTAGGTGTGAAAAATATCTGTTCACTTAGAACATCATGAGAATATGAGTTGACATACGGAGGCCAGAAAGGTGTGACAATCAGAGAGTATGACTGTGATGATAAAATTGATAAAATAAGTCTGATGAGTGTAGAATTATATTACTTGTAAGAATGCCAACTTCTATAACAGAATGACAGTTCTATGACCAGCTCTGACACAAGCCCTTGTCATAGTCCCCTGGAGGCAGATGAGAAGCACATTGATTCAAGTTCCTATGTGTCCTGTAAGGACCATAAGGATGACTGTCTCTAAACATAACTTTAAGTTCTTATCACTACCAAGGGTGAGAGAGAAAATCAGATTGACCTCTGACACTGTTCTTGATTTTATGTAATTATTTTTATTAACAATCACTGTTCTGAAATGATAGAATTAAATATAAATTCTGTCAAATGTTTCCTAAGAGGGATTTAAGATAAAATGTTTAGGCCAGACATGGTGACCCATGCCCATAAGCCCAACGCTTGGGAAACTGAGACTGGAAGATCAGTTTGAGTTTGAGGATAGCCTGGTATACATAATGAGTTTAAGACCAAGCTAAACTACACAGCAAAAGCTTCACACAAAAAAAAAAAGAGAAGAAAAACAACAAAAAGATAAAATCTTTAAACCGTTTGTTTGTTTGATGAACCTGAAAATATGGATAAAATAACAAAAGATTATGGATATATTAGTAACCTTAAAGAATAACACTTTCATTTTCTACTTGCTGACTTCACTGGGATCATAGCAGTAATAATAGCAGATAATTGATGTTGGATCATCAAAGCTAAAATGTCACAAAAACATTTAAATTCAGTAAAGCCACTTTCCTGTTCAGAGTAATCTAATGACACTTTCATCAGTGTCCTTAAGGATGTGGACTCGACCTTATGCTACAGTGCTTCATAGCTGAAACTTTGCCATTTCCTGGCTCAATTCTTGAGTCAGTCTTCATGCCCACACAGTAAAGCCAATTTCCATTCATTCTTGAATTCACACAGGTAAGAGGGTAGCTATGTACTCAACTGAGAGATGTGTTACCACATTAACCCAAGTCCATTAGTCACAGTGCTCTGATTTTTCCTTATTTATTTGAAAGAAAATAATTCACCTAATACCCTTCACAGCTTAATAACTCAAAGAAAGTACTTGAAAGAGTCAAGAACTGGGCTAAGATGTGGCCAAAGGCTACCCATTTACTTCCTGCTTTAATAACCCTCTGTGTGAAGTGTGAATCACAATATCCCAGTTTCAATGAGAAATACTATCTGTGAGAGCACTTAAAATACTTTGAGAAAAAAAGGCACAAAATATTGTAACTTTAAAAAGCAATTGGTTACATAAATGTGCAAATTTCCATGAATGTCATTATATTGTATACCTTAATTGTACCGATAAAATTTAAAAAATAAATAAAAGCAAAATAAATGAATGCAGCAAGGAAACAGAAAAAATCAGAAGCCTTGAACATTACGTTACTGATCTCTTTCTCCCCCCGCCTCTCTCTCTCCTTTTTGCCAGCTAGCCTTAAAGTATCTTGCAGTTCCATGGTGGTTAAAGTTTGTGTACCATCATGCCAAAGGCTGCAACACTTGTTAGGACCCATATTACAGGGAAATATGCAGAGACGGAATTCACCACTGAGAAACAGACTTTGACTTTTCTATCCACCTCCCCTCACAATCTGTAAGCCCTGATATTGATGTAAGCACAAAGCCTCACTTGTTTTGATCCAAATATCCAGATATGTGGGTGGACTCATTCTATCAAGGAATTTCATCAAAATTCACATCTGCTGATTTCATAGCATGAGGCGTTTGACCCTTTGCCTCCCTCCTTATTAGCAAGAAACACTTTTCCTACCTGAGAATAAATTGCTTCTGCCTCCTGAAAATGTATTGAGCATAAATAAGGTAAAAAGCGCCCTGCTCAGTACTATGGATAATACAAAAGATGAATGAGTTAGTTTTTGCCCTTCAGGATTTCACAGGCCCACATTCTTAGATACAGATCTCAGCCAGAAACAGTTCTCTAGAAGGAAGGCTGTGATGCTTATCTCCCTATTCTCACGGCTTTGTGCCTCAAATAGACTAAATTAATACTCAGAAGAATTTGTGTTCTGTTGACAATGTCTCCTGTTTTTTGTTCAACTGGGATGTGAACATTACTTAGTACCTTCATCATTTGTGTGGCAGCTCTCAGACTCTAATCTCAGGGACCCCTTCCTACTCTTTAGCCTCTTATGTAAATTATATCATGTTACATTCCATGTAACATTGTAAAACATAAATTTCCAAAATATTTCAAATCAGGATAGCACTGAGTACTTATTTTATTTGGTTGTTCCCATATAAACTCAATGAAAAGTTCAAGACTTCAAGGTAATTATCTCTCTGAGAATAGTGACATAATAACTATCACGATAGATATGGCCAAAGATAGCTAATATAAGTACAGAAGTAACAAGGGAAGAAGCAGATTTTGTTAATTATATAAATCTCTATATAAAATGTACATGTTGATACTTTAGACCTGCCGCCATTGAAATACGATAAAACACAAGCATAGGCTTGCAGGTATTTTATCAGTCAGCAGAGTGATGACGTCATTACAGGTCAAATAGCTTTGGGAAAATTCCACTGTATGCGAAAGTGAAAAGGTCAAATCACATCATCTCTCTCTTTCTCTCTCTCTCTCTCTCTCTCTCTCTCTCTCTCTCTCTCTCTCATCTCTATCTCTCTCCAGGGTCTCGATACTTAGTTCAGGCTGGCCTTGGACTCAGTACGTAGCCTTGCTAGGCTCGAACTGGGGAAGATCCTCTTGCCTCATCCAGCTGACCTTAGAAGCGAGCATCACCGTATTGGGCCTGGAAGTAGTTTTGACCTCAGAGATCCCTTGGAGAAAGGATTTTGGAGACACTGGACTGGTGAACCACTATTTGAGAACTAATCAAACTGCTTAATTTTCAGGTCAGTTCTTATTTCCTATTACTAACAAAGTGTATCTCTTCTGACGTGTATTTTTTTCTCGTCTCTGGACAACTCTTTGAGAATAATTGACCTAAAGTGACCCCTAACTTGATGCAACTCAAAGAGAAAAACCTCCAGCGGTCGGCTGGCGTTCTGCTTAACCCTGAGAGCTGAAATACAGCGAAACGCAGGCTCTAGAAGCGAGCCCCACAAATCCAGCCGCGTCACTAAGGCGGAATCGTAGCTCGTGACCGGAGACCGGGCTCACGCAGGGCTTGGGACAGAAGCCGGGAGACGCCGGCGGAGATCTGCCAGCCGCAGGTGAGCCGGGACCCTCCGAGGAGCAGCGCCACAGGGTGTCCCCAGGCAGACGCGCCCTGCTCCCCACCGCTGGCGCGGGCAGCAGGGCGCACGGTTCCGGATTGTCTCCGAGACTTAGGGGGGCGCCAGAGACCTAGGGCCTGCGGCTTCTGGGGCGTCTAAACAATAGGGCTCGGATCCAGGGGCTGCTGCAACATGTGCGGGGAGATGCAGGTACCCGGCCTGGGTGGGATCGGACCCCAACACAAAGAGGAAAGTGTCCGATCCGCACTGTGCAGAGTCTGGGCGTGGGGACACGCTCTCGGGGGCCACTTTCCCCGAAACGAAACCGTGCTTGGGGCGCATTCGCGCGGTGGTTTTGGGTACAACAGGTCAGGTGACTCAGTTCCCACCGAAACTCAAAACTATTGAGCCAGGGACTTTTTTTGATGTGTTTTGTGTTTTGTTTTTTGTTTTTCCTTTGTTTTAGTTTGTTTGACAGCTGCTAGACTATGTTTACACTTCTGATTCTACTTAGCCAACTGCCCATAGTTACCTTAGCATTTCCTCCTCGCACAAGAAAGCTAAAGGACTTCAGGCATGCGCCAGAAGAAGGTAAGCAGGGCTGTGCTTCCGAGAAAGCCTGTCTGGGAACCCCGGCCGCCTGTTAGAGATCTCAAACGGGAATTATATGCCACCATGAACCATAGAATCCCTAAATTAGCGTTCAGTTTAATTTGTAGCTTATTTGGTAATGTGGTGGGCTTTTATGTTCTTTACAATGCATGCGAAATTATCTCTGTGAGTATCCTTTGATAAAATATATGTTTAAGATCTGGTTTGTGGCTAACTTTCAATTTCTGAAAATGAGTGACTTATTCTAAATGAAGCTGTGGAGTAATTAGTAGGAGCACAACTGCTTGTTGTTTCTGGGAAGTTGGACAGGGCGTCCTGATCTAGTTTGGACTTGTTTTTGAGCTACTAGGGTTAGAACCCAGGGCTTTGGGCATGCTAGGCACCCAACCTACCTGAGTCCCTAGTATGGACTTCTTCTGAGACCCTGGGCCAAATACTTAATCGCTTTGGATTGGAATGCCTTCATCTGTGAAGTGATGAGGATAAAGTCGGATGATCTCTCAGGTCTATTTTGACTTTGAAAAGTCTAGTTGTGTAGATAAAGGCAGATGGTTGAGAGATGGTTTGGTACTTACTTACCTAGAACTCCATGCTGTTTAGGCTCTAGACCATAAACAGATTAGTTCTTTGCCTATATCTTAAAAGCCTTACCTAGAAAAGTCAGAAAAAAGAAACAAAAAGGAAAATTGCCTTTGGCTCTCAGCATTCTTTTCTTTTTTCATTGTTTTCCCTCACCCCAGGGCCCCTACATGCTTGTCCTTTATCTCTTCTCATCCAATCCTGCTGTCAGCCCATTTTAATTTGAGAAAGATCTGTTACACTAATACTTCTCACTGACTTATTAAGGATTAATACAGTTTTTTGAGTGTGTGTGTGTGTGTGTGTGTGTGTGTGTGGACAACACCTCAGGTTAAAGGAGGCAAACTCCAATGCCAGAATTCTAGGCAATTGGACCTCCCAAGTCACACCAAACGTATAAGCCATATAGATAAAAGGCTGATATTAATAGGACCCGATGTGACTCCCACAGAATGTGAGTGTATTCATTCATTCACATGACATAGTGTCGCGAGCACCGATTTGCGTTTCGGGATCACGGGTCAGCGCATCAATGATTGCCAATTCGGTTTCGTTTTGATCAATGCTTTTACTCTCATTAACAATACAAATACAAGCCCACACAAAGGATACAACTACAATTGCCAGCGCAATCCAGAAATAATGCCAGCCCATAATATCTCTAACACACTCATAAATGCTATCATGCTATAGGTGAGGGCATACGACCTGGTAGATGTAGTCTGGTCTCAGGCTTCGCAGGGTCGAGCTGCGACTTCGATGTTTCGGCAGTCAGGATCAGGTACAGCGTGTCAGCATCTCGGACAGAGCAGGGATGCAGATCCTCTGTTCCAGGTCTGGAAGCTCCTGCGTCTCGGGCAGAGCTTCAGCAGGTCATCTTGACGGAGTCGTCAAGCGACGTCATCTGTCTGTAGTCTTCTCCTTTTATACTTTAAGTCATTTCTAATCTAATACATCCATATGCTCTATCTAAGTTAACTCCTCAACACTCGCATTACCTTACTTCAAACTCTTAATCTTATGTCACAGCAGTCATGTGTCACGGCACACGGTCGGGGGGGGGAATTCCCCACATGTCACAGCAAACTCTTATCTGTCTTAACACTCAGCATCCAGGCTGTCAGCTTCCAAGCTGTCAGCTATCAAGTCTCACTTAATTTCACTCTAGTTTTACTTTGCTTAATTCTGCTTTTTGTGGGTCACAAAATCCTATGTTTTACATGTTCACTACATTCCACCCCCTGACACCTGAAATGATGTCAACATGAAAGGTGTCACTATTGATCCTCCCCTTATATACATGGGGAATCTCAGAGGTCCGCAAGACGGGGGTTTACAAAGTCATAGCGTCGAAATCCTGTGGACTCAGTTACTGACATAATATGTCGATGTAACCCTTTTTGTATATTTAAGTTTTTCATTCTTCTATATTTTCTATTCATTTCATACCAAGTTGTATAAGCATTATATTCAAAAAGCAATCCTTGTAAAACTGGTTTTAGTAATGTTCTAATACACCATGATTGTAAAGATCCTGGAATATAGAGCGACTCTTGTGAGTTTCTACAATACCAATCACCTTCCAGAAGTTGTTGAGCTTCTTCTGGTCGATGTCTAATTAAATTCTTGCATAGCATATAGTTTGGATATGTTCCCTTGCATATATAGCAAGAGATCAGACTTGCAAGAATGTGTAAGAATCTTTCAATCGGGTGTGATTCTATCCATCTTTCATTATGTAACAGAAAATGTTGTAATAGAAGCAATAATCTATCATCCTTATTTATGCCAGACAAGAATCGACTAGAGAATCTATTTATGCAAAAATGGCAATCAAAGATATTTCTAAATTCTCTAGGTAATAATCCCATATTATATAATAGATCATGAAGCGTATGGCAATGCAATTTGTAATAATGTAGTAACACAATTTTTGGTCCATTTGGTTGCATGAGATCACATTTTCTTCGCGAGGGATTTCCATTTTTCCTTGACCTTGGCATGTCTTCGTTTCCTGAAGATTCTGAGTAGCAATCTGAGAAAGACAACTAAGAGAAACACCATGGATACAACATATAATGCTTCTTTGAAGTATTCCCACCAATGATATAGTGGTGTACAAGTAAAGTCTAATTGTATTAGTCTAGCTAGAAAATCAAAGAATGAACATTTTTTCATATCCTGATTCCATGACTTAGGAATGACCGTATTTGTCCGTATCAATCCTACTAGCTGATGTATTTCCTGGTTTGATCTAGTTAGAGTGTGTTGTGCATTCATAATCTTTCTGTGTATGGACTCTAATTGTTTCTGATTATGTTCTGATATCTTTTGTATTTCCTGATTTTTCTTTATGAATTCTTTATAATGGTCTTTTTCTAGGTCTTCTAAGAACAATTTAGGTGTACTATATAAGTGTGTGGATTGTATGGAAATCTCTGTTACCAAAGTCTCATTTCCTTTTGTTAAAACTGAGCAATTATGTACCATCCAACAACCTACTGGCAATTCATGTGATGTAATAACATCATCATAAGTGGTAGTATCCAAGTTTGTACAATTTATTGATGTGTAATTATTAACACATACTAAGAATGTCCAATCGCCCATGGATTGTATTGTTTCTGTCATTGTTGTTGGTGCTAGTCTTGTTTCTGTTAACTTAGTCTGAGGCATATGTGGATATACAAATACATTAGTGCCTAGACTATAGCATTCTTCCTGAGGTACGTATGCAGGTGTGCCATTGATTGTTATAAAAAGGAAATGATCTATTGGTGTTATCCATCGTGCATTCAATGAATTCCATGGATCCAGTTTTGTTTTCCATACCTGTGGAATTGGTCTTGTATGGTAAGCGGCATAAGCATTATCTATAAAAACCTGTAAAACGTTTAAGGTACATAGACCTTCTTCACAAAAGCTATTTGCAGTGGGGTTAAGTAATGTTTGGAATTCTGGTGTTCTTCTACCTAGACCTGTTATAAACAATGTATCCAATTCCCTAGTCATTTTGTCCAGAGTCATCTTATATTGCACACACATTAATTCATTATGATTTCTTAAAATTTGTTCTTGTGTTGCTCTTTGTTGCATTTTATGTTCTTGCTCTAAAATTGCCATTTCTGCTCTCATTTGTTGGTTGAGGACGTTAAGAGCATCCAATGAATTTGAAATTGCTGCTATTGCTTCTGAAACTTGTCTGTTTAACTTATGGATGTGATTTAGTTCTGCCTTAATTGGTTGTATCATTGCTGCAGATACTCCACCTCCCATAATGCCTCCTAAAAGTGCTCCTGCCATGAAAGCTCCTACGGCTAATAATTGCAAAGGTTTCCTACCTGTCTTTAAAGGTGTTGTGTATTGCAGGCCGTATGTTGGAGTAGAGTCTGTGCAGTAATTTGGAGGTGGTGCTAAAGTCTGTAAATCTATCTTTAGTTGTACTTTCCTAATTCTAGGGAATAGTATCAACTTAGCAGGTGTTTGCATGTCTGGCACAATCATAGGTGCCTCCACCACTGTAGATTTATTACTTGGTGGTGGATATATATAGCCTTGTGGAAAGTGTGCTGTATAGAGTTTATAGGTTTTTGTTACATTTTCTGATATTCGGCGTGTAATTCCACCTCTGTCCAGTAATTTCCCTTGATATGGTTTCCTGTCTGGCCATATTGTGTGTGAAAGTGGGAGATAATCTATTGTGTCCCAATCTAACATAAAGGTTGTATTTAATCCTCTTGGAGCATGTGCTATCCATTCTATCTTATTCCATTTTTGTATTATTGGGTCCAATCCCCATGTTGAGAAATAGTATGGAAAACCTGTGTGGCGAAGTTGTAAGCCTTGATTTGTGGATATATTTAATGTCCTAAACCATTGTATGGATCTATTTATTCCTGTTTTGTAATAAGCTCTTATGTTATCTCCACTTAGGAGATTCCTTACTCCTTCAACTGTAAATGAATATGTTGGGTTTAAGTCTTCTATTAAGGGTAATGTATATTTTACTTCTTCTACTGCATCTGTTATGTTAACGGCTGGTTTATGAATTGCTATGGTTATACTTTTACCTAGAGAGACGGGTTCCTGTACTGTTTCCTTTTTCCTGATAATGTTAGTAAAATTAAAGTCTACATCATACGGAATAGGGAATTCATCTAATCCTGCCATATGATGTGAGCATAAGAAACGAGCTGTTTCACAAAAAGGCTCTGGTTGTTTAAGAATTTTTTTTGGCAAAGGCTGTATAGGGTCCTTGCATTTGTAATACTTGAATTTGGCTAAATGAGCTAGTTGTGTTTCATTTATCTGATATCTCAATTTCCAAGGTTTGTCTGTGCCAGTATATATCCATTTGCCATCTGTATTCTTAAATAGGGTTTTGTTAATTTCTTTATATTCCAGAAATAATGCTGTGTTATTACTATGTTCACAATAATGTGCCGTATTGCTGCCATTCTTTCTCTGAATGGTGTGGGGCCAAAGAAATGTCTTCACATATTGGGTATCAGTATTGGAGCCCATTATTCCAATAAAGGTTATCTCAACAGGATAGTAGATACATGTCCATATGAGGCAGTTTGAACTATTCTGAATTGTTATGTTGCATATGTGCGAAGGCTTAAGGCAAGTGTTCCAAGATGCTTCTTGTCGATTAAGTGTCCATGGTTGTGGTAAAATATTTGTCAATAATATTGGTTGTCTCCAATGTTCTACACCTAAGGGTAATATTTTTGACCAATCGGCCCATTCCCAGGCTTCTGTAGTGAATGCCTTGGGAACGGCCTGCTTATACTGTGATCCTGAAATGTTCACTGGTGTTAGATTCCCATAGAATGGAAGATTTGGGAAATCTGCTACACACAATATAGAATGTTTCAAAACCTCACTCTTATTCTGTTTTAATTCCTCCATGAAAGAATTTGGGCATCTATTACCCCATGGTGGGGGTAAATGTGGTATTCCTTTAGATATTAACCATGGTTCTATCTCCATCTGGAAGTTTTTGTCCTTTCTCGTAATATTCAATGGTTGCATCATTGCTTTTACGTCTTCATCACTAATATCACTAACATCAATCATATCGTCTCCACTACCATCTTCAGTAGAGTTTCCACTAGAGTTTCCATTAGTTCCTCTGTCATCTGAAATTAAATCTGAATCTAAATCATAATCAAAGTCAATTCCCTCTTTTGCAAAGTCAATTTCCTCTATTTCTCCTGTGCTGCGATTGTATTCAGCGAACTCTAATGGTTCCCAGGACTGATATATCATAGGTGCGAACCATTGTCTAGTATAGGTTGTGTTCATTCCTAATCCACATGTGAATGTCTGTGACACTAGGGCATCTAATTGTCCTTCCCATGATGGTGTAATAATCATGGTTTCATATTTATTATTAAATTTAACTTGTGTCATTTTCAAATTTTCCCATGTTTTCCATGCAGTGGCATATATGGCCATATGACTTGTCTTATTTCCCCAAAATTCTATCTTGTGACATTTGATTGGGTTTGGTTCATCTAAACTTGTAGGTTCATCATCTGACATCATACTCATGAAGGTTTTATAGTGGTACGATGGCTTAGTAGCCTTCCTATACTCCTCACAATTTGCATACCAAGCATATTCTATGCAATGTGCATATTTTTGCCACCAGCTGTAGAAAGTACTAGTTATGTGAGTCCAATCTCTAAAATCCTTCCAATAATGTGGCCACCTGTTTGTAATGTTTTTAATCGGTAATTCTTTGAAGTCAATGCCTTTGGTAGTAGGACTCGAGGTAGTTTTTGTAGGACTACTAGAAGTAGTTTCGCAGCCAGTAATAAGGTTTGTTAAAATAATGAAGGAAATGACCAAGAGCATATTGTAAAATTTGTTATCCTTCCTATTATTACAGTTTGGTTTTTGAAAATTTCGCACGCACTTAAGTATGTTGTCATTATGGGTCCTACTACCCATATGGCTATGGCTAGGAATAGAAGTGTGAGCCCTAGTGAATGCATGCATGTCCGAGTGCATCTCATGTTATGATATGTCCTCTAGTCTAGTGAGTCTGAGGTCGCCCTTACCTTGGGTTATCCAGATATTATTTCCGGGTCCAGGGGCGACGACCTCAGCTTTGTGTATGGTATCGTCCTTTTTGCTCCTGTGAACACAAATATGTGGTCTGATTATGTTTCTATTATCCTCCTGTGGGTATTCTATCACTTGGGAGTAAGCTATAGCCTCTTCTATGGGGCTCTTTCTATGTAATCTCTGTCTTTGGTTTAACTCTAACGTGGCCCATAAAATTGCCTTCGATAGAGTTTCACCTATTCTATGCATCAGTTGTGTTTTTAGCAAACCATTCCACCTTTCTATCGCTCCAGCAGAAGTAGGGTTATAGCTTTGGTGAAAGTCCCACATAATTCCTAATGTTTCTGCACATTTCTGTGTTAATTTTCCAGTGAAATGTGATCCTTGATCTGATTGTATTATCTGTGGAGTTCCATATTGTGCACTCCATTGTAATATGGTTAGAATGCAAGTTTGTTGGTCTGGTTTGGTGCCAACCCTGGCCATTCCTAGACCTGTGGTTGCATCTACCATAGTACATGCATATAAATTCTTATATTTCTTTAAAGGTCCAATAAAATCTATTTGTACTAAGGAATTAAATCCTTTCTTACTTCCAATGTTTCCATGGTAATTGTGATTAAATCTCAGTCTATCATTTGGGCAACCATTGCATTGTTTAATTGCTTGTCTAATCTTTTGCCAAGAGACATCAATATGTCTTTGGTCCATCCATTGTTTCAATGCATGGGTGCCTATATGTCCCATTTGTTCATGGAGAGCTTGAATTTCTCTCAAGCCAACTTCAATAGTTGGTTTGAGTTCCTCTTTTTTGGGTACTATTTTATATTCTGTTTTAATTCGCTTTTTAAGAGGATCAATATCCTCAATCTTATAAGTTTTCTTAATTTTAATATTACTCAGTAAACTTGCTAACTTATCTACTACATCATTATATTTATGCATATCATCTTTTTTGGAAGTATGAGCATCTACGTGATATACTATTATTTTTATCTCCTTACTTAATTCATCTAATTCTTTCCATGCATCAATTGACCATATATCTTTACCATTGATCTTCCAAGAGGTCTTTCTCCATTTCCCTGACCAAACAGCAATTCCATTTGCTACACACCATGAATCGGTGTACAAGTGTAACACTCTTTTATTCTCTAATTTAGTTTGCCTAGCTGCTAATAATGCTGCAAGTACTTCTGCATGCTGTGCAGACTTTCCTGTGCCTTGGTCAGTGATTATCTTACCATCTTCTGGCCTATAGGCTGCAGCTTTCCAAGATATTTTGTTATTTACGGTAGTGGAAGAGCCATCCGTGAACCAGGCATTGGGTACTGAGGCAGTATACTCCTTTGTTCCCCATGTGCCAATATTTGGCTGTCGTTCTTCTTTTTCTTTTTTCTTGGGGATTAGATCTGGTGGGATTAACCAGGCTTGGTCATCATTGGACGATCCACCCCCTGAACGCAGTATCGCGTCCGAGGACTGTGAGATTCGTCCCTTTGATGTAACCTGATGATGTTTTATAAAGTCTGCCAAGTACCATTTCCAATGCAATACCTTGGGTTCAATCGGAAGTCCTACCCAGGCCTCACCTGGAGCTTTGATCCAATCCATGATTGGCATCTCGGTCCTAATGATGGTTTCATTGTTCTTAATCAAGGAATGTATAGCCTTGCAAGCCTCATATGTAGCCCAGATGGTCCTCTCAAAAAGAGAGTATTTATTTTCTGACCATGGAAATCTTTTACAATAAAAGCCAATTGGTGTAATTCTATTTCCTTTTGCAAAAATATTCCAATTACCATATCCATTAGTATATAACACTTCTACTATAATAATCTCTCCCTCTTGGATATATCCTAGATGGTTATACTGTTTGATCATGGAGATAATGGTTCGGACCGCCTGTT